AGAAATTGTCGGGCATCGCTGGTAATCTCCGATAAGGCAAGGACTTGCCCTTTCAAAGCTCGAGCTTGTTCGGTGAACCTGTCCGGGAAGGTCTAATGGGAAGAGAAGTTGTCGATTTCAGCATGATTTGTTGAGTAAGGATAGAATTTGAATCCAGAAACAAGTTACTCGCCTCGATCCATGCGAGTATATTCCTCTTTCCTTGTTCCAGGCCAGGCCCCATGAGCGGGATACCTTTTAAGACTTCAACAAAAACCTGGCAGAGCGAGATAAGCTCTATATCAAGACGGCAGTGCCTCAAAAGTGACGACTGCATCATGTAGATGAATATACAACGCATCTCGGCCCAGCTTTCCGGGGACGGGCTTGTTACAAGCCGCTTGAAACGTGAGATTTCAGTCTTAACAATCTCCAAACAAGCTTCCTGGTACGCAAGGTGCGCTGGATCATGCGACTCTGTCCCATTCGCGAGATGACAGTAGCAGTCCGTGAGGAGTGGCATTTGATCAGCGCTGGGTCGCCATGGTTTTGACCGATGGGACAGCAGCAAGCGTGATGTGGTTCGTCGAATAACCCAATCTATGACGTCTAATTGTGGAGACACACCCGAAGGCCATTCAAGATGGAAACACTCGGGGCGGCCCAAAAATTTGCGTGTGTTGTTGTCGACTACATGGCTCTTTTGGGGTGAGGTAAACAGGTGCAGTGAGCACGCGATCAATTCAGATAGAGAAAGGTGGTTGGTTGATCTCACATATGTTGGGGTTGCAATCATCCACGGTCTCAATCTTAGAATTTTGATATCGTAGTTTCCTTGGTTCATCAGATATGTAGAAGCGATATCGACGTTTCGCAAATCATCCAATAAATCTCGCGTTGGGTTAGGCAACGACGCGCAAAAATCGTCCCATTGTGTGAAGAAGGCCCGGGTTTCCGCACCATAGAGTTGGGTAGTGCTGCAAATGAAATGCACGTAAGAAAACTGGCAGGATTTAGCGATGTTAGAGGATGTCCGCATACCTGTATGTCCTTATTTTACTAATTGAGAGATTCCGGAGCCATTGTTGCATGATGGCACAGCGCTGGGTCGGCATGTCGATGTGGAAATCGCGCGATCTACTCTGGGTTACGAGGTAATCCCCGAAAGAGCTGTGGTAGGGACGAATTTCGTCCACCGAACTGCGTACGTTCAGTACGGAGTGCATGGCTCGTAAAGTCAGGGCCACTTGACCTGAGGGCCAATCTAGCAATAGCTCGATATGTGCTGGGGATGGTATCAGGGAGCCTGGAAGGATGAGAATGGCTGCAAGAACGCGGAGAAGTTCCTCGCGATACGGATGGGCGCTGAGTATGAAATGATAGAGCACGTCGAGCATGGGATACGCCGACGTTCCTGGATGACGAGGGGAGGTGTTCTCGAGAATAACACGAAGCTGAACGATGGGATGATTGCACGCGAGTGTGACAAACATGATAACCGTCACTGCATAGACGAATTGGCCGCAGGACCTCTCGACCAAGATTTCGAGGTCCCTCCTCGATGGCCAGGGATCGGGGAACTGGACTTGGCCATATTTCCGACTCGAGGCAATCTCCTGAAAGTGGTGTAGATAATACTTTCTGATATCGCAGCGGGCCTCGAGTGAATCGTCTAAAACGATCGTCTTCGAGAGTCGGAACAGGGGTTCATCTGAAAAGGCTTCCCGAATCCACGACTCCGGACGACTGCAGATCAAGAATCGTAACGGGAGGTGAGGTACCTGTTGGAAGGCGGATTGAATGATGGAGATAATCCGCAACTGGATTTCCTCGTCCCCGCATTCATCTAATCCGTCGATGACGATGATATTCGGAACAGTGACCGGCGACACACATGCGAGGTCATTAACAAAACCCCACAGGCCTCCCGGCCAATCCCACATCGGTGCAGGATCGAGAATCAGCTCGCGAAATTGGTGTTCCAGGCTAGCGTCGAGAATCGTTGGATCAGTTAAGATCCGTTCTTCAATGACACTTCGCATGACTGGTATGCTCGAAGCGAGACCATGTGCGATAGTGAACCAGAGGGAGGAGGGATTGTTGCGTTTCGGGTCAGACCGAAAGAAGAAGAATGAGGAGACGAGGGCGCCGGCTTTTTCACAGTCTTGGGCGACGGTCATAGCTATCGCGGATTTTCCGACACCAGCGGCACCTGAGAGCCAGCAGACGGGATGGTCTTGCTCTCTGCTCGAGCTCCAGTCATGGATGCTTCTCAGCGCTTCCGAACGGGCTCCCGGGAGACACTTTCCTCGCTCAAACTGTTGCTCAGATTTGTGTGATGCTCCAACGCCGATGATTGGGTTCCAGAGGCTGGGATATGCTGTAAAAACCCATTGAGCGACGTGAAGCAAAGAAAACAGCGAGTGACTCACGGGCAGAAATGGTCGCATTGATAATGTTGACCACATCTCGGCCTGCAGTCATTTGGCCAATCTGCCCCCCGCTATTGATATTCTGGTATCCCTGATTGTTGATATTCTGGTCTCTGCTATGACTGGTGTTCTGGTACACTCCATTGTCACTGCTGTGGTGGAGACCCCAGCCAGAGTGGGCGTACTGCATAGACATCAACCTCGTCGAGTGGTTAGTCACCTCGGAGAATGATGTGCCTCTGAGAAGATTGGACAGAAAGGGTCAAGATGAGGGGGAAAGAGATAGAAATATTCTTGACCTGGATGGCGAAGGCGGTGGTGGTGTATCGAGAACGTGTTGATATCGCCCAAACATTGATGTACCTGACCAACACGCCAAAAAGGAAGCAGATACCCACAGAGGTTCTCGTGCGCGTCTATTCAATGCACTGACAATGGACGGGATGGGTAATGCCAGTGCCACTTCATGACCACGCTGAGGGAAGGTTTGAATAGGAAGCGACTTTCGATTCTGTATATGCAACGGGCGAGTAAGCTGATTCTATACTGATGGAATTGAGTACTAATACGATGAAAGTTGTACAAGTTCTGCTCATTGAGCCTTCGAGCGACGGCCCGGTTGTGGTCCGTGGCCAGACGGCAGGGAAAGTCTCAGCCTGGAAGTTTTCCCACATACGCATGCACCTACAACTCCACCCGATATCAAGACGGTGAAATTCGCTGTCACCATTGTAAAAGAGAACATCGTCAGCGCTCAAGTGACTACGGACATAGTAGAAACGGACGCCTCGAGTGATTATCGTCACACATTCCGCCTGGCCCGTGGCACACTAACTACTACATATCAAACTATGCCAGAGTGAAAGGGCCGCCAGTCGTCAGAATCTCGCTTCTCATCAGGAACTAAACAGAGACCTTCGTCCTCTCCTCGCACCTCAATTCCGATGCCGGCTTCTCGGCCATTATAGATCTACCCCGAAAAGAAAGAAAAAGTTAGCAAAGAAAGAGACAACAATATATACAGGGGGAGGGGGGGGGGACTTACACTCTCTGAACGACATGGCTATTCACAAACTCTATAAAATCCTCACAGGTACCATTCTCGAGTTCTCCGTTACGGTTGCAGAGAAGAATGCACATGAAGAGGAACATAGGTGGGAAGAGGAGACATCCGAGGAGGGTCGTCAATGTCAGGCAGAGCCTTAGTAACCAGTGTGGCTCTGAGGGTAGGGGTGGAGATTGGGAGAATGACAACGATAAGAGGTAGAGAACTAGGGTGTGAAGGAAGCGAGGGGATTTTTCGTTAATGGTGTAAGGAAAGAGGAGAGAGTGAGTGAGTGGAGACGCACACATACCGATTTCGATAGCACAAACGATGACGGCTGTTATACTAGCATAACGTCGTGCAAATGGGTCGGATTGTGGAGGTCGCGGCAAGGCACGGGAGAAGAGTGCACCATATAAACACAGTTGGACGCAGACATACCGCCATCCGAAACTGGTAGGGAGCGGGAAAGTCGAGTTGGAATCTTGTGTGGTCGGGATTGTTGAGCCGAGTTGTAGGATGAGAGCGATAGAGGCGACACATGCGCCGAGGGTACGAGGAGGATTGTTGAAAATTGACGTTGATTGTTGGATCTACAATGATTAGTTTGAGTTTTGAGATCCCTTTTTTTCGTGATTGAAGAACTTACCTTGGACATGATAGATTTAGAGGTTAGAGTTGGGGGGGGGGCGATAGGAGACTCAGTTGACGCTGCCTTATATATCCGAACTGAGATTTGCCAATTGTGAGACATTTTCTCGCCCGGCCATCGGGCCGGGGATGGGTGAAATTCTGGAATCTGCTTCCTCATGATCAAGAGCCCGTTCGAAAACTTGACGTTTGAGCTTGAACGTTTGAACCTCTGAAGGCCTAACCGCCCGATCGGGATTATGTGGTCTGGAGAAGGGAAGGGGAAAAGAAACAAGCAGATGAACGAGCATAATGGGATTTCTTGATATGTATCCAGCTCAAGTCTGACATTTTGAAGTTGGACAGTTGGGAGAGAATTCATATTCGTACCCCAGGCGTCCAGGGGGTCGACAGTTGTAGAGCGCAAAAGAAAGTACAAGTTCGGGTTCAATGTACCATCCAAGTCGTTGGGAGGGGGGGAGAAGACATATTGGAGCACAAAGGAGAAGACGTCCGACGAAAGAGCGATTGAAGGTTTGCTGGTGAGCAGAAGGGGTTTGGTCGAGGTTGTTGCGCCGGTGGAGGGAAGAGGAACAGGTCATTCTGAGTATACGAGCCGGGGGGGGAAAGAATCGAGTTACACCCCGAGGCGTGTTGTTATTCAAACTCGTCAGTGACATGCCACTATTAATCTGAGTGTACCGGACCCCGGTGGATGATGGTGAAAAACTTATACTTAGGCATGGGTCGTGTTGGTTAGGTTGAGTGGTCGGTTCAATCAATGGAGAATTGATTTGATTATCTTGAGCTTGGGGGCTACATAGGAATCAGGATGGGGAGAGAGCGATCCCGTGGTGGACGTGTAAAAGCCAAGCCAAGTCGTCTCACATTCGCATAACTCGTACATACTAAACACACCGTTGGTGAAGTGGTTATCATGCTTGCCTTCCATTTGCTTGGTCAGTAAACTTTGAGCAAGCGGCTCGGGTTCGATTCCCGAACGGTGTACTGAATTTACGTTGAGTAGTTCGATTTTTTTTCTCTTTTTCTTTCTCTCGAAGAAAACGTCTAGTACAATTGTAAACTCCTCAACATGGACTAGTCTTAAGCCTAGGGCATTTCAGGATCTTCTTCTTGATGTTAGTGCCTTTTACAACTTACAGTAACACCCCCCCCCCCCCTCCCGAATCTTCTCGACCAACGACGCCAGCATTCAAATTTGCGAGATTTCAAGGTGTGTATGTAGCGAGCGGTATCGGGACTAACACCATGGAAAGTTTGATGGTTCCCTGTGCGCGTAAAATAGGGCTAGAATGGGGAGAGAGCGATCCCGTGGTGGAAGTGTAGAGTCAAGTCAGCGGCTCACACTCGGCTTTCGATGTCGATGTCAATCCAAACTCCACCCACCACTTAATACACCGTTGGTGAAGTGGTTATCATGCTTGCCTTCCATTAAGACTTCGTGCGTTGAAGCAAGCGGCTCGGGTTCGATTCCCGAACGGTGTAATCGACCAGGCGGAACACAAAGTTTTTGCAAACTTTTTACTCTTTTCAGTCCTTCTCACTCGTATAAAGTATGTTTCTCTCTTTCGAGTAGAATACAATCATAATTACAGGTAACATCTTCAAGCCTCTGGCTCGGGATCAGGATGAATAACGATACATTTTTCGTAGGTGAAATCGTCTACGCCGAAGCGGCCGTAGCCGGATGAGCCGCTATGAGGTGGGGGTTGTTAGCATACACGTTGTGAGAGATACGATTGGAAGGTATGATACGTACCCCAGTCCAATCAACCCCAATACGGGTTCGGAGTGTATGGTGCTGCCGTTGATGTTCGTGTACCCAGCTCGAACGGCCTTGGCGATCCTCCTCGCGAGATACAGGTCTCTCGTCCAGACTGAGCTTGTCAAGCTGTAATCGGAATCGTTGGCCGCGTCGATGGCTTCTTGAACGGTGTCGACAGTCGTGAGAGTGAGCACTGTAGGCCGTTGTCAGTACAGACAGGCAGCTCAGAAATCCACCACGCTCACCCGGGCCAAACGACTCCCTCTCCCATATACCCAACCCCTTCTTCCGACTCTTATCCTCATCCATCAACACCACATGTGGACCCACAACACTCCCCTCCCTCTTCACATCACCCAACAACACCTGCGCCCCACCCCGCAATTGCGCCTCCCTAATCATCTCCACCACGTTCTCTGCATGACCTTCCGCAAACAACGTCCCCAACGCCCCCTTATCCCGTAGCTCCCTGGCAACTTTCAGCAGTTCCTCCGTAAACTCCTCCACAACACCTCTCTGCACGATCACTCTCTCCGTAGACATACATATCTGTCCGCTATGCATCGTCGCACCCGCCAAGATCTGTCTGGCTGCCACCCCGACGGGTGCATCGTCTAAAACGATCGCGGGTGCTTTCCCACCCAATTCGAGAACGCAAGGTTTGAGGTGTTTAGCACATTCGATGGCGATGATTTTGCCTACGCGGTCTGAACCCGTAAAGGTGACTTTTCGAACTCGAGGGTCGGCGATGATTTCAGCTGTCAAGGTAGGTGTGTCTTCCTTTCTGATGGATAAAAAGTTGAATACACCGTCGGGTAACCCGGCTTCTTTGAGGACTTCGTAGACGATTGAGCAGGAACGAGGGGAGAGCTCGGAGGGACGGAAGACGACGGTGTTGCCGCATAGGATGGGGATTGTGATTGCTCGGAGGGTTAAGGCGATCGGTGCGTTCCAGGGAGATTGGGTGAAGATGACGCCGAGTGGGTGTTTCTCTGTGTAGACGTCGATGGAGGGGGAACGAGATGAGGGGAATGTGCGGCCGCCGAGTTGGGTGGTGATGGTGGAGGCACTGGATCGTAGGAATCCGGCGGCAGTTGCGTAGTTGAACATGGCCATTTCGAGGGAGGCCCCGGTTTCTTCGGTTATGGAGGTGATGATGCGGTTTTTCCAGTCTCCTCCTTCCCCTTCTTCGAGTAATTCAGCAGCTCGGGTGAAAATACGAATTCTGGTGCTAATGTTGGTTTGACTCCAGCCTTTGAAGGCATCGTGGGCGGCAGAGATGGCGTCTTGACAGTTCTGAGAGGATGCACTGGCGCAGGTACCGACGAGTTTGAGGGAACCTGGAGTTAGGATGTCGAATGTTTGAGTTGTCTTGACGGGCTGGCCGTTTATGTAGAGCGGTGTGTATGGAAGAGAGGTAGACATGGTTGATGGTCACCGGTCAAGTGGCATCGATAGACGTTTTATCGAGCTAACTTCGTGAGAACTGAGATGATCCATTTGTAAAGGACAGCTGCTGATGGGTCGAAGAAAATGACGAGTGGGAAAAAAACACATCGATGGTCGTGGTGAGAGTCAGAGACAGAAACACCGGCCCGGAGCCATCCCACTCGAACACGCGGTTCACGACGAGATCTCGACGCGTCTTGTACGTTCTCCTGCACTACAGAACTAAAACTTACGGCTAAAGAGGCTCATTATCACATCGACACTTTCATCATCATTGTGTGAGCAGGTGGTAATCACTTTCCGATGTGATCTTACTGGCTTTGCATTGCTGACAAGACACCGTTGGTGAAGTGGTTATCATGCTTGCCTTCCATATCGATTGTACGTGCAAGCGGTAGCAAGCGGCTCGGGTTCGATTCCCGAACGGTGTATACATATCCAGCTGGGTGATGTGTTTCTTTTTTAAATCTAAAGTTGCATCAACCCCGAACGACACTCAGTACTGATCATGAATCCCTCCAAGAGGATGGAGGACCGTGCAACGAAAAACATACCCTTTACCACTATATACACTGTTTGGGAATCGAACCCGAGCGGCTTGCTACGATGCACGAGATCCTTATTATGGAAGGCAAGCATGATAACCACTTCACCAACGGTGTTCAAGGCATTGTAGAAATCGGTTTGTATTGACAATGAGAGGCTGCCGGTAGAATGTGTGAATGAACCCGAGTTGCTCTTGGAGCTGTACCCCCATCATCGACCTCGACTTCTCAAACCCGCGTTACATCCTCCTTAGTGGAGCACCCTGTCTTAGTGACGAGTCCGATTTGTGCGTGCGATTCACCTTTTTTTTTTCATTTCAGTAACTGACTGGTTAGGCTGGATGCGGAAGGGAATCTGATGTTCTGATTCTCCGAGCCTTTTTCTGTTTCTCAGCACGACCATCGTTATTCCCAAGAAAAAACCCAAGTCGTGATCGTATCGAAGGAGCATGCAGAATCTAACAAAACGGGGGAAAAAGCAACACACAAGTAGTACTCCCCCAGATCCCGAAGATGATACTGCTAGGCTACGTGACTATCCACTCTCTAGTCTTCGTCGTAGTCTATTTCCTCACCTCGCCTCCTAAACGGAACGGAAGACTGGCATCTTGATATTCAATTCCAACACTCTTTTGACCGTTCTCTCTGTAAGACCCACTCCAACTCGAACCCATGCCGACGGTGCGTGTCTGGTTCCCCTGATATTAAACTATCGAGTGGATCTGAGAAGCTTTCGTTTCTCGTTAAGGTCGTGCCATACAACATACAACATGATGATTCCACCACGAACTGACCCAGTGCTTCATTTGTTCCGCCTTTCGACGCAGTGAAGTCCGGACGGATAGCTTCCAAGTTGTGCTTACAGGAGGACGATGGGATTTCGATACAGCGTCGAGTCAAGGTGCGTATTTTGGCTCAAATCATTAGCATACAACACTTTGTGTTTCTATCTCTCTCTCCCTTCCTAGCGGTCCGCGGAGAATTTTCAAAATCCCCTCCAGCCCATGCGGCATCTCGACTGCGTGAATGCTTCAATCCCTAGTCGGAAGCCGAGAAAGATCTTCCAAATCCGCTCGCGCTTAGACTTTGAACTTCCACGATCGATTCCCCCCCCCCCCCTCCGGCTCTTTACTTCTCTTCATCTCACCTTCAATCAAGACAGTGGGCTTGACGAGGTTTGAAGGACGGCCTGGATGTGTAAAAGGTTCGGGTCAAATTCCATACTCTGACTTTGACAATGCATAGTCATGATCCATCGTATAGAGGACGGACGGACGGACGAACCCTACCATACGGTCACGAAAATCAAAGATAGTCAGCACCTCGGTGTTCAGAGGTTAACCGGTGGACAGGACCGCCTCGAATTGAGAAGTGGTCGTGTTGTGTGGGAGTAGTTAAAAAACTTGCCGCTTTCGAAACTTTGGACTTGCACCTGATTTTTTTTTCTCAAAGCCGATTCTCGCTCTTTTAATCTGTACGATGGATTAGCTTGCGTGTTCGATTCGCACCTTGGGTTTTATAATCATAATCAAAAAGACGCCCAGCAACCCGACACGAATGATTGTCCGAATCAGCTGCCACGAACGGGATGACTTTTTTTTGTCTATACGAATTCAATGCACTGATTTATTCGTTACGTGGCTCAGAGGCTTTCGACGCAGTGAAGAATCTTAGATCCTCTACCCCGCTGAAAGCTCTCCAACCTTCGACGGAGCCCCCCCCCCCCTCCTCACCGTCGTTGAATGTGTCTCCCCCTTCTCTGTCACTCATACACAAGCCCAAACTGGGTAAGCCGTATAGTCGCGCGGACGCTTCAATCCAGGCTGGTCCTGGACAAGGAAAAGCAGGCACGATTGTGCTCCTTTCAAGATGTGACTCTAGCAAGCGGGGGATGGAATCACTTCATATGAACATTGGAATACTTAGTGGAAACTCCACCGAGAGTCACCGTCTATTTCGACTCGGGTTCTTTGACAGATGCATGTTCATCGTCTTCTCTGGAGTCCGCCCTGTTTTTAGCGCTTCCGAACGGATTCCTGGGAGACACTTTCCTCGCTCAAACTGTTGGTCAGACCTCCAACGCCGATGATTGGGTTCCAGAGGCTGGGGTATGCTGTAAAAACCCATTGAGCGACGTGAAGCAAAGAAATCAGCGAGTGACTCACGGGCAGAAATGGTCGCATTGATCATGTTAATCAAGTCTCGACCTGCATTGTGAGTCTGATTCACCGCTCCTCCAGTCACCTGGCCGATTTGCCCCCCCCCCCCCCCCCCGTTATTGACATTCTGGTATCCTTGTTAATTAATATTCTGGTGAGCTCCATGGTCACTGCTGTAGTGTATACCCCAATGAGAGTGGGCGTGCTCTATAGACATCATCCTCGACGGGCGGTCGGCCGTGTCGGAAAACTATTTACTCCCCAGATGGTTGGATGAACGTCAATTGAGCCAAATGAGGGTGGAGGAAGTCATGAGAGAGCTTCTTGAAATCGTGAGATGATAACTGCTGTAGTGTGTCGAAAAACGTGTTGATGTTGCCCAAACATCATCACCAGAGGTGGGCGTCTAGCCATAGTTGATGGCCGCTGTCTGGAAGTGGCTGGGATGTAAACAAGCGCCAGCAAGCGTACCTAAAGGAGTCTTGAATCGACTTGCCTCTTCTTGAACGGGTTACTGGTGCGAGCTCGAGTGACAGTGTTTGACTTCATATTGTGAGCGTGTCGGCGCGAAGTTTGCTTACACATGCACCCACAACAAAGAAAACGGCCCGGACGGACGAATCGGAGCACCGAGCTCCGCCAACTGTTCATTGTTCAACGCAAATTGTTTCATTTGTTACAGCACACCTTTGATCTGAGAACTTCAACTCTCCGACAACCGTGGTGGATCGTGATACCCTACAGAATCTGAGCACACATCAGTAGAGATGGAGGGGAAAATCTCGAGGAGGGTGAGGAATGGGCCGAAATGGGATGAAATTCATCGAGTACGTTCGGACGATTGTTTTTTTGTCGTGACGATTCACACTGACCGATGTCTTCAGTGTCATTCCGACTGCTGTATCTTCCTGAAGGTCTAGCTCGCGCTCATATGTCTCGGTTTCTTGCTCCACAATACCACCGGCCACCTTCCACCATGCCTTCTTTCGCACGGCGACTCATGTGAGCCACCAAAAAAAGCACAGCATAGAATTTGCGTTTAGGTTGTTCGAGCTTAACAGCTATTACCGGTCATCGCGGTGAAGGGTTCATGGGGAGGAATATCGAATCAAATGGAGCAAAGATCAGTTTGACAGGATACCCACCGTGTTTCAACCGCGTATGTTCGTTCATTTCTTCTCTCTCTCAGGCTGGTCGGACGTTATTGACACTAGGTCGTTATCACACAGCCTGCCTTCTATATATGTGCAAGTCTTGACAGGGCGGCATGCCACCTACATTCACTCAAGATGACAACACGGGGCGCGGAGCAGAGTTTCGAGGCCGTGAAACTGGTCGTGAAAGGGAATCGAGAAAGGAAGAAATTCCCGGGCTCGGGAATTCACACCATTCACGGCCGGGAAACCTTCCGGGAATAGAATCAATTCATCTCCGGGAATGCTGTAAATAACTTACCGTAAATAGTATAGGTTCCCGGACGATAAATATTTATCTTATCGAGCGGGAATCTTATCTATTCACGGGCGAGAATAATGGCGAGAATTCATTAGATTCGCGGTCGAGAATTCGTCCGTAAAATACATTACCCTCTCCAAGTACGATGAGAAAATCTGCTTGGGCGTGGCGAGGACGGACAGCGACGCTGTATTGTAAGTCAGAGGGCTGAGAGAGACGACGTTGAAGAGATAAACGCCGAACATAGGGCGGCCCAGGCCCACACCAAAGTGGGCGAACCGGCCCGACATCAAGACCTGATGTCAGTCCTCGTGGTAGCGCGTTCCTCTCACTTCGACCACCACCACTCCGTACCTTCAAGCTCCAGCGACCTCGGTCTGACGCTCAACAGCGTACCGTCAACACGAACTCAGACCCTCTCCTTCATCCTTCCTCTGAACTCCTCTCTGCTCATCGATTACTTCCCGCCAACGGCCTCCGCAAGAATCACCAACCCAGACCACATTTCCCGGTTTCTCCATCGACAGAACCACCTTCCTCAACATCGCCGTTCACCGCGCTCTACACGAGCATTTCTGATCTTGACGGACGTCTGCACATACCGCGGTTCACAGGTAGTTTTCCCTGTCTTTTTAAACATGGTCTGTAGTACCTAACGTTTTTATAGCATCGCATTCGTTTGTAACGGCCAGCGAGAAGGCACTGTAGGATACGCATCGCATATCATTTTTCCCTTCGAACCTACTCGTCCACTCCATCCATCCAACAAGCTTCCACACGAACCACCGGGTTCCAGACCAGAATTCCCGGTCTCTCTACCAACAGAACCAACAACTCGGCATCGTTTACTGCGTTCCACTCGAGCGGCTCTGCTTTTGACGATGGCTGCGCACAACGCGACTCACAGGTGAGTTTTTGTTGTCTTGCAAACGTGGTCTGTGGTAACCAACTTTTTTCTAGCGTCGAATTCGTTTGCGACAAGCCAGAAGACATGATTCTGCTCACTCAACACTATCCTGCCAACACTCTTCGCAATCCCGAATTCTGGGCTCTCTACCGGCAGACCCACCGCCTCAACATCGTCGTTTACTGTGCTTTACACGAGCGGCTCTGCTCTTAACGATGGCTGCGCACAGCACAATTCAGAGGCCAGTTTTCGTTGTTCTCGAACGTGCTACGGAGCTATCCTGACACCCAACCCATAGTATGCGGCACGCGTTCGAGTGCAGCAATCACAGCGGGATCGTACATTTGGTGGGGGGGGAGGTTTGT